CCGATGTAACTCGGAAATCAGTAACGAAAACGGCATACTTCATGGCGTTTGCGCTCGGACGTTGTTCCAAATGGGCTCTCAAATCAAGGAGATTCAACGATACAGCACCATCTACAGCTACAGCCACCTGAATGTGGACAATAAGCTGCTTCACTCAATATTAAAGAATCAAAGGCTTACTTTGCGACGAAAAAACGCGGCTGGCAAAGTACAAATATGAGTTTGTGGGTGCTAGATGACCTGGCAGTGGAGCGCAAAGCAAATGGAAAATGACGGGGATACCGTCAGAAAGACCCTATCAGGCCTGTATGAGTCCATTAACGCTTGAACTCTCCCTAAGCGTTCTGGCTGTATGGCAGGAAACAGATACGGTCATCACCATATTATATGGACATTGCGCATCCAAGTTTGTAATGCTAGGGACACGCGGAAGTGAAGGGGCGGAGCTACACGCCGCGGGGCGGAGCTTCACACACGCTACCACGCCCTGGCTTCTTTGCCACTGTACTCGAGCGGTGAAAATGGTATTTAGGGTTGGAGACCACGGAAAAAATTCTAGCTCTAAGGCTGTAACAAAATGTGCCTTGGAAACTCCACATACCTGCTTCAAGCGGAAATCAACCTTGTTTTCCACAAACTCCTTCGGATAATTCGTAGGTGGCATATTCTCCTGAAACAGAAAGGTTGCCCTGGAGCCAACATATACAAGGAATCTGAACATTCCAATTTACCTGATAGTCGATGGCTTCAAAAAGTTTCTCCTTCTCTTCCGGAGTCATCGCTTCATTGAATTGAGCAGCAAAGTCTTTCGTTGACTTTTTATTAGCAGCTTGCTCTTCACCGCCACCACCACCAAACCTTAACAAACCCCATTATCACCTATTTTCTTTTCTGTAGGAGAGCTCCAAACCCACCAACTAGCTCCCCATGCAAGCCATCCTTGAGGTTGATCTTCAACTCTCTTCAGTCCCTTACGATCGATATCCATTTCAGCCTGTTGCCGAGCAACGTTCACATTAAACACATCCAGTTGCTCCTCTGCTTTCTATAAACAAAAGATTATGAGCCCTGTTCGACTCGTTGGAGTCACTTGTGCTGCATATTTCATGCAAAAAAACCAGCTGTTTGAAAAATGGGCTGTTTACCCGCAGGACAGCTGTACTGGTTCAGAACAAGTGCAGATACTGGCCATGATGTCGTGAAATAGTGCGGGAAAGCTATTATAAACAGAAGCCAAGCCGTTCAAATTTTCTTAAAAACGCTTTTCTGAATCTGGTTAGTTAGGAGGAGTATCACTGGCACGGCTTAGTGCCAAAATATTATTGAGATGTTACCTTTTGCGGAGTTTAAGAGACATCCATTTTGGGCATTCTCTAGGGCCGCCAAAGTACTTCTCAGAGGTTCAAAGAGCTCTCGCTCTGGTGCGACCCTAGAGAATGAAAAAAATGGATGAG